CTGCATTCCAACCTGGGCAACAGATCGAGACTCTGTCTCAAAAAAAAATTTTTTTTTAATTAATTAATTAATTTTTTGAGATGTAGTTTTGCTCTTGTTGCTCAGCCTGGAGTCCAATGGCGCAATCTCGGCTCACTGCAACCTCTGCCTCCTGGGTTCAAGTGATTCTCCTGCCTCAGCCTCATGAGTAGCTGGGATTACAGGCACGTGCCATCGTGCCCAGCTAATTTTTTTTTTGTATTTTTAGTAGAGACAGGGTTTCACCATGTTGACCAGGATGGTCTCTGTCTCTTGACCTTGTGATCCACCCGCGTCAGCCTCCCAAAGTGCTGGGATTACAGGCGTGAGCCACCGCGCCCGGCCTAATTTTTGTATTTTTAGTAGAGTCCCGGTTTTACCATGTTGGCCAGGCTGGTCTCGAATTCCTGACCTTATGTGATACTCCTGCCTTAGCCTCCCAAAGTGCTGGGATTACGGACATGAGCCATGGTGCCCATTAAAAATTAAAATGTATTAAAACTTATGTATACACTATGCTTACAGACCATATATGGCACCGTTCACAGTGGAGTGAAATATAGATAAACATAAAGATGCAGTATTAAATTATAACTGCATAAAACCCTGTAGTATATACTATAATTATTTTGTGGCTACCTACTATTGGTGTTGTGGTGAGCCTAAGGGTTTTGAGTATCTGTTTAAAATGCCTATGACTCCGATCATCTCCAGGTGAGCAGTTGTCTTTCCAGTAAATAGCATTTTGCAGTAAAAAGTGATCAGAATAATTGATCTCTCGCAGTTCGTACATTTTTCTCATTGTGTTTAGTGCAGTACCGTAAACCTTGAATAACACAGTGGGACCCATATGAAGTGCCACTGGTGATACTGGAAGTGCTCCCACAAGGCATAGAAAAGTCAGAACATTACAGGAAAAACTTGTTGAATTGCTTGATATATACCATAGCTCAAGGTCTACATCTGCAGGTACCTGCCATACAAAGTGAATGAATCTAACATAAGGAAATTAAAAAAAAAAAAAAAATTCCCCCTTTTTTTTTTGAGATGGAGTTTCACTCTTGTTACCCAGGCTGGAGTGCAATGGCGTCATCTCGGCTCACCACAATCTCCGCCTCCTGGGTTCAGGCAATTCTCCTGCCTCAGCCTCCTGAGTAGCTGGGCTCACAGGCATGTGCCACCGTGCCCAGATGATTTTTTTGTATTTTTAGTAGAGACGGGGTTTCACCATCTTGACCAGGATGGTCTCGATCTCTTGACCTCGTGATCCACCCGCTTCGGCCTCCCAAAGTGCTGGGATTACAGGCATGAGCCACTGCGCCCGGCCCCCCCTCTTTTTTTTTAAAGGGAAATTTGTGTAGCCATCACTGTAGCTATGCCAGCAGGCAAAAACTTTGTACTTTTTCCTTAAATACAAAAAGTCTTACATTTAAAAATACAGCTTTTTTTTTTTTGACGGTGTCTTGCTCTGTTGCCAGGTTGGAGTGCAACTGCAATCTCCGCCTCCTGCGTTCAAGCAATTCCCTGCTTCAGCCTCCTGAGTAGCTGGGACTACAGGCGCATGCCACCACGCCTGGCTAATTTATTGTATTTTAGTAGAGATGGGTTTCACCGTGTTGGCCAGCATGGTCTCGATCTCCTGACCTCATGTTCTTCCTGCCTTGGCCTCTCAAAGTGCTGGGATTACAGGTGTGAGCCACCGTGCTTAGCCACAGCTTTTATATTTTATTTTATTTTATTTATTTTGAGACAGAGTCTTGCTCTGTCGCCCAGGCTAGAGTACAGTGACGTAGTCTTGGCTAACTGTAACCTCTGCCCGGGGTTCAAGCGATTCTCCTGCTTCAGCCTCCCGAGTAGCTGGGACTCCTGGTGTGTGCCACCATGTCTGGCTAATTTTTCTATCTTTAGTGGAGACAAGGTTTCACCATATTAGCCAGGCTGGTCTTGAACTCCTGACCTCATGATCTGCTCACCTCAGCCTCCCAAAGTACTGGGATTACAGTTACAGGCGTGAGCCACCACACCCAGCCTAAAATACAGCTTTTATGTGGGTGCAGAATTGATATAATGATATAGAATCTAATATGATTTGAGAAAAAGTAAAATCATTATATGACACTTAAAAGGAAGATGAAGGATCTGAAGCTAGAGAATTAATTCCAGGAAGGGATGACTTCATAATTTTTATAAGATTTGGCTTAAAAAAAAAAAGTCAAGATAACAGCAGAATCAGCTTGCACCAACCAAGACAAATTTCCAGATGCCATTAAGAAAATAAATGAGGCTGGGCGCGGTGACTTAACACCTGTAATCCTAGTACTTTGGGAGGCTGACCTGGGAGGATCACAAGGTCAGGAGTTCGAGACCAGCCTGGACAACATGGTGAAACCCTGTCTCTACTAAAAATAAAAAAATTAGCCAGGTGTGGTGGTGTGCACCTGTAATCCCAGATACTTGGGAGGCTGAGACAGGAGAATTGCTTGAACCTAGGATGTGGAAGTTGCAGTGAGCCGAGGTCGTGTCATTGCACTCCAGCCTGGGTGACAGAGCAAGGCTCTGTCTCGGTGCGGGTGGGAGAGGGGAAAGAAAATCCTTGAGGAGAAGGGATAGCATAGCTGCCTAAACATGTCTTTTTGTTTGTTTGTGTGCTTGCTTTGAGACAGAGTCTCACTATGTTGCCCAGAGTCTGGGTTGCCCAGACTGGAGTGCAGTGGCGCACTGTGGGCTCACTGCAACCTGTGCCTCCCAGGTTCAAGCGATTCTGGTGCTTCAGCCTCCTGAGTAGCTGGGATTACTGACGTGCGCTCCCACACCCGGCTGAGTTTTATATTTTTAATGGAGATAGAATTTTACCATGTTGGTCAGGCTGGTCTTGAACTCCCTACCCAAGTGATCCACCCGCTTCAGCCTTTCTAAATTCTGGGATTACAGGCGTGAGCCACCATGCCCAGCCTGAACAGGTCTTTAATGCAGACAAAAATGCCCTATTTTGGGGGAAAAATGCCACAAAGGACATTTATTGGTAAGGAAGAGAAACAAGCACCAGCATTTAAGGCAGGAAGGGATAGGCTAATTCTACTCTTGTGCAAATGCAGTTGAGTTTATGATCAGGACTGCCCTTGTCTGTAAAGCTGCTAACCAACCCAAGCCTTGAAGAGAAAAGGTAAACACTAGCTGCCAATCTTTGGTTGTACAAGATGGTCTGGACAAGAACTCTTTTTCTGGAGTGGTTTCATTGATGCTTTGTTCCTGAATTCATTTGAAAGTTCTTTTGATATTGGACAATGCCCCTGGCCACCTAGAACTCCAGGAGTCTCAGTAAAGAATATTCCAGGCCGGGTGTGATAGCTCATGCCCATAATCCTAGCACTTTGGAAGGCCATGGCAGGCGGATCACTGGAGCTCAGGAGTTGGAGATCAGCCTGGGCAACATGGTGAAACCCCATCTCCACCAAAATGCAAAAAAATTAGCTGGGCATGGTGACACGTGTCTGTGATTCTAGCTACTTGCAGGGCTTAAGTGGGAGGAGTGCTTCAACCTGGGAGGCAGAGGCTGCAGTGAGCCGTGATTGCACTACTGCACTGCAGCCTGGGTAACAACAGATTGAGACTCTGTCTCAAAGGCAAAAAGGAAAAAAGTGGCTTCTTCCCAAACATCAGTTTTGATTTTGGCTAGCATCTAGGGAAACTAGTTATAGCTCTTCTTTTCAGCCTGCTATTTTAGGCTCTTCTGAATAAGACATTTTGGAGTAGATAATTTTGTGGGCCTTTTTGTTGTTTGGCCCAATTTTTTCCTCAGGTTTTCATATGGCATATAAGAAGGGGATAGTTAGAGGCCAGATCTGGTCTCTAAAAACTGATTTGAAATCAAAAGTTACTTAATTCACAATAAAATATGAATGACTATGTATGGTTCTTAAGTGCCCAAAAAGTACATTTTGGGGAGCATTAGAGATGTCGATTTACCCAGTTCCTAATTGATACATTTTTGCATTCATTTTGTATTTTGAGTCATTGCCAAGCCACTGACAAAATAGAAAAATAATCAGATATGGTTTTTACCCTTGGAGAATGTGCTCATTGGTAAAGAAATTGCCAGCATTCCACTGCTTTTGACCTTGTCACACTTTCATATGGATTAACCTAAAATTCAAAGTAAAGTTACGGATCTTTGGGAATTCCCTGCCAGAGAGGTAGAGAGATGTATTTGATTTTGAAATGATTTTTAAAACAGCTTCTCTTGTCACTTTTTCTCAGTGTTTTTTTTGAAATGGCGTCTCACTCTGTTGCTTGGCTGGAGTACAGTGGCATGATCTCGGCTCACTGCAACCTCTACCTCCTGGGTTCAAGCAATTCTCCTGCCTCAGCTTCCCAAGTAGCTGAGACTACAGGCACGCGCCACGGCACCCAGCTGATTTTTGTATTTTTAGTAGAGACGGGGTTTCACCATGTTGGCCAGGATGTTCTTGATATCTTGACCTCGTGATCCGCCTGCCTCAACCTCCCCAAGTGTTGAGATTACACGAGTGAGCCACTGTGCCTGGCCATTTTTTCTCACACTTAAACAGTGTTGTTCTTGTAGCCCTCATACCCCTTCTAAGACTGTCTTTTGCCTTTCTGCTCCCAAGGATTATACTTTGATTTGTTAGATGAAGGGGACCTAAGCCTCCCTTAATTCTTTTTTTTAAGACCAAGTAAACACCTACTTGGCCTTTCGTGAATTAGGAATGTCAAATATAATAACAGAGTGTTTTCAACTTTTAAGTATATGCTGTTTATCTGTGCTTTTAATTTGGGAGATTGTTGTCTATGTTTGGAGAAAGTCATTTTGACAATCTTGGGGCTATATGGTTTTTAATTATTTTAGTAGAACTATTGCAAATATTTACCATTGACTTTAATTGCAGTTCTCTGTAGAAAAATTTTCTGAGAACCCAATGTAATGTGTTCACTGAGCAAATCTGTTTTTCTTTTCATTTCAGTTGGAAAAACATCCTTGATCACCAGATTCATGTATGACAGTTTTGACAACACCTATCAGGTATTTTGTTTTTGCCAATTTATTTGTTGTCTATTTTGTGTTATAAGTAATATTCAAGATATTTTTAAAAATTATTTACGTGCAGTTATGGATGTAAAAGTACTTTCTATAATCTGTAAAATGCTGTATAAATACAACATATAAATGATTTTTTCCAGTCCCAGGATAAATCAAACTTTATTATTTGATTTCTTTTGTCTCTTCCAAAGTCTGTTGAAATATATCTCTAATATCATCTAGGATGGCACTAGAAGTAATGGTGAATATTCTCTGTAGATTTTGTCCAAGTCTAGGATTCTGTGACTTTCTTTTTCTTTTTGAGATGGAGTCTCTCTCTGTTGCCCAGTCTGGGCTGGAGTGCAGTGGCACGATCTCAGTTCACTGAAACCTCTGCCTCCTGGGTTCGAGAGATTCTCCTGCCTCAGCCTCCTGAGTAGCTGGGATTACAGGCGCATGCCAGCACGCCTGGCTAATTTTTGTATTTTTAGTAGAGTCAGGGTTTCACCATGTTGGTAAGGCTGGTCTTGAACTCCTGACCTTGTGATCCGCCTGCCTTGGCCTCCAAAAGTGCTGGGATTACAGGTTCTGTGACATTTTTACTACACTTGAAATTAAGAATAAATGAATAATGAAATTGGAAATCTTTAACAGAAAGAAATTAGGGAAATTCACAAATCTGTGGAAATTAAACAATACACTCCTTAATAATTAATGTCAAAGATGAAATCACAAGAGAAATTAGAAAATACTTTGAAATTAATAAAGAAAACACAGCATACCAAAACTTACGGTATACAACTAAAGCAGTGCTATACAGAAAAGAAAAAAGATATTAAATAAATAGCCTAAAATTCTACTTTAAGAAACTAGAAGAAAACCAAACCCAAAACAAACAGAAGGAAGAGGCTACTTTAAAATGTAGGTTTTATTATTATTCCTGTATGATGAGGCCAATAGACCAGGAGGTGATTGCCATTGAAAAAATAGTTTATTATACTCACAGATCCTGAGGAGAGGGCATGCCATGCTATAGCAGGCCACATGGGGAAACACTGGGTCATTTAGAAGGCAGCTGATTGGGGAAATGTGGGCAAAAGCCTTGACTGTGGTTTCAAAGGGAAGAGGCACACAAGACAGGATAAGCAGATTTAGGATTAGCTAGTTTGAATGATTTCAGGGGTTCTGGGATTGAGGGGCTATTTCTAGTTGTCTAGTACCTGGCCCAGGTGATTAGGGCAGTGTAGTTAGTATTGGCCCTCAGTGTCATAGAGGAGATGGTAGGGTATTGGCTTTAGTATGGTTGGTTTGCCTATGAAAGGAATACTCACAGGTGAGTTCACTATCTGTAAGGAAAAAGCTAATTCTGGCAGGGGCAGTCCCTCCAGTGTTAGCAAGGACCCTGATATTGAAACTATAGAAAGTAAAAAGATATGCTTAATATAGAAGCTAATAAAGGCTAAAGCAGAAATATGTGAAAGAGAGAACAGAAAACAATGGAGGAAATCAATGAAACTAAAAGTGGTTCTTTGAAAAGATCAAGAAAATTGACTATAGCTAGACCGATCAAGAAAGAAAGAAGACTCATATTCTAAAATCAGAAAAAAGGGAACATTGCTGCCAACTATACAGAAATAAAAAGGGTTGACTGGGAGCAGTGGTTCAGGCCTATAATCCCAGCACTTTGAGAGGCTGAGGCAGGTGGATTACCTGAGGTTAGGCATTCAAGACCAGCTTGACCAATGTGATAAAACTCCATTTCTACTAAAAATGCAAAAATCAGCCAGGCATAATGTAATCCCAGTTGCTTTTGTAGCTGAGCCAGAAGAATCACTTGAACCTGGGAGACAGAGGTTGCAGTGAGCCAATATCATACCACTGCACTACAGCCTGGGTGACAAAAAGATTCTGTCTCTTAAAAAAAAAAGATCTCGGCACAGCTGAGGTATTAAAAAAGAAAGAAAGAAAGAAAAAGGGTTATAATGGAATGCTATGAACAATTATATACTAATTAGATGACTTAGAGAAAATGAACTAAAACTATCTCAAGAAGAAATAGAAAATCTGAATATATCTATAATAAGTAGAGAGAATTAATAATAAAAACTTTTCTGCTCACATAGAAAATTCCAGCATCAGATAGTTTCATTGGTCAATTCTATGAAACTTTTAGAGAATAACATCAGTAGTTTATAAAACTCTTTGGAAAAATAGAAGAGAACACTACCCAACTCATTCTGTGAGGTCAGTGTTACTCTTAATACTCAACCCAGACAAAGATAATCAAAATTAAACTGCAAACCAATATCCCTTAAGAATATAAACACAAAAATTGTCAATAAAATACTACCAAACTGAATCCAGCAACATGTTAAAAGGATTATACACTATTATTTTTATTGTTATACAGTATTATTTTATTATTATAGGCCAGCCCACACCTGGCGTGTGCATCATTTTATCAAGTGGAATATACAAAAAGCAATCAACATAATACATTATTTGAATAGAATAAAGGACAAAATCACATGATCATTTCAACGTACACGTAAAAAGCATTTGACAAAATCCAGCAGCCTTTCATGATAAAAGCATACAACAGCAAACTAGGAATAGAGGGAAACTTCAAAATGGTAATGAGCGTCTGTAAAAAATGCCTCATCTAATATACTTAATGATGAAAGGCTGAACGCATTCTAAGATCAGGAACAAGTACAGATGTCTGCCCTCACAACCTATACAGTTTCAATACAAAAAAAAAAACAACAAACAAAAAAGAATAAATTAGTAATCTTAAGAGCAAGTACTTTGAGGCACTAAGCACATTGTGAATCTTTTACCATATATTTTTTAAAATTATATTTTATTTTTTGAGATGGACTCTCGCTCTGTTGCCAGGCTGGAGTGTGGTGGCGAGATCTTGGCTCACTGCAACTTCCGCCTCCCGGATTCAAGCAATTCTCCTGCCTCAGCTTCCCGAGTAGCTGGGACTACAGGCACATGCCACCACGCCCAGCTAATTTTTTGTATTTTTTAGTAGAGATGGGGTTTTACCATGTTGGCCAGGATGGTCTTGATCTCTTGACCTTGTGATCCACCCGCCTCGGCCTCCCAAAGTGCTATGATTACAGGAGTGAGCCACCACGCCCGGCCCATATTAACTTTTTGAAAAAAATTTTTTTTAAATTACCATTGCTTTTCAGTTATAAAATGTTTTTATTAAACAGTTGAGGAGCATAGATTAAAATTGTCTTGTTAAAAATAAAAAAGAAAAATTACTCTTAATCTACTTATCCATTTTATACATAATGTAGTTAGCATAACTTGATTTCAGTTCTGATCATTCTATAGATTAAAGAAGAAACTTGTTTTCAATTGCTTTGTCTTAGTAATATAGCAAATGTTAATTTGATCAAAGGAATGGTTAATTTCCATAGAGTTTTTAACTCACTCATTAACTGGTGCTCTCTCGATTATTATCAAACCATTTTTATTTTTCAGAAAGGTTCTAGGGTAAACTTAAAATCTGAATCCTCTTAGTATATATATTTTTACATTTGAAGTATTTATTTCAGGAATATAGCTTCTGAATTGAATCTTCCTGAAAAACAAAAACATGGGCATTTCTTTCTAGGAAAGCTATATAATGAGCCTTAGAATTGGAAGCATCTTTATTTACATCTTGGTTCTACCATTTGGTAGTTGGATGGGTTTAGACTAATTATTAAATTTTTCAGAATCTGTATTTTCACATTTGTAAAGTGAGAACCATATATAGATGATGACTCTATTCTTTTTTGGGAAAAAACCTGTTTTTTTTCTTTTAAGAGATGGGAGTATTGGTTTGTCACCCAGGCTGGAGTGTAGTGGCATGATCATAGCTCATTGCCACCTTGAATTCTTGGGCTAATGGGATCCTCCTGCCTCATTTTCCCAAGTAGCTGAGACTACAGATATATGCCACCACTCACAGCTAATTTAAAAAAAATTTTTTTTTTACAGATGGCTTTTGCCATCTTGCCCAGGTCTTGAGGCTTAAGAGATCCTCCTGCCTCAGCCTCCCAAAGTGCTGGGATTACAGGGATGAGCCACCACACCTGACCAAAAGCTCTGTTCTTTTGTGATTATTGTCATTTACCATTGAGAACAACATCGTGTTCTTTCTTTCTTTGCATACTTTGGCACTTGTTTTCATCGTACTCTTCTTCATTAAAATCTGTCAGCATTTTAGACAACTGTAATGTTCACATAGACCATCTATCTACCAGCCTTCTGTACTTTTCATTTCCATAATCTCAACCTTCTCCAAAAATCATATATTCTCTTCTCAGACCTCAATCTTCTGTCCTTCCAATTTTTTTATTCAGGTACTTTTACTAAAATAGTTTCTACTCCAGTGGTTCACATTAAAACCTTCAACCCTTTGTTTCCTCCATGTTATTTTAATTTAATTTTTAATTTTTTCATTTTTTAAAAAATAACTTGTTTTCGATTTTTTTTTTTTAAAGACAGGTTTCCACTATGTCACCTAGGCTGGAGTGCCGTAGTGAGATCTTGGCTCACTGCAGCCTCTGCCCCCTAGGCTCAAGCGATCCTCCCACCTCAGCCTCCTGAGTAGAGTAGCTGGGACTACAGGTGTGCACAACTATGCCCAGCTTTTTTTTTTTTTTTTGGGATGGAGTCTTACTCTTTCACCCAGGCTGGAGTACAGTGACTTGATCTCGGCTCACTGCAACCTCCGCCTCCTGGGTTCAGGTTATTCTCCTGCCTCAGCCTCCTGAGTAGCTGGAACTACAGGTATGCACCACCACGCTTGGCTAATTTTTTTGTTTTGTTTTTTTGAGACAGAGTCTTGCTCTGTCGCCCAGGCTGGAGTACAGTGGCGTGATCTCGACTCACTGCAACTTCCCACTCGAGGGTTCAAGCGATTCTCCTGTCTCAACCTCCTGAGTAGCTGGGATTATAGGCATGTGCCACCACACCCAGCTAATTTTTGTATTTTT